CAGCTCCTCCAGTTCATCAGGGGGTGGGAAACTGACATCTGACAAGCTTTTGCTCTGCCCTGCCCAGGCTTAAACTTACATTCCTTAAGCCATGGAAAAGTCACAACAAATCACCAAGGACAACAAAGGTATTTTTTCCAACTACAGATAAGGAAAGTTGGTCCCTTGGAGTGGATGGCATGTCAGCTGATACTAGCCATGTCAGAAGCAGCAGGAAGAGTAGTCCAGGTCCATCCCCAAACTTTGTGAGCTCTCCTAGCCTCTTCACTTTGGAACCCTATTTCATTTGCACCTGTACTTATTAGCATAAACATGAGAGCTTTCCAATAAACACAAGTTTGGATTTAGTTTACACAGGTAGGAATGGTGAATCACTGGCATTAAGAATGTAATCATTCTTGACAGGAGAGGCTTCCAGTTCTAAGCTGTCCTGTCCTAAAGAGAGGCTGATGCTGGAGGAAGACCAAGCAGGGTTTACCTCCCTCCTTTATAAAGAATGTGCTGCAGAGATGCAAAATCTAGGTACCCATTGTTAGATGTTCTTTATCTGGCTCCTTTTCATCACTGGGTATGAAAAGACTGGCTGTACATCAAGGCAGCAGAATTCCTGTATAAGCAACAAGATGAAGTTTATTCTTAAGTCTGTGAAAATCGCTGTATCTTTTTGCCTGCTAGACCAGACCAGAGTGGGAAGCTTTCTCAGGAAATTTTGCAATATGTTCACAGTAGGAGGGAAGGATCTACAGATAAACATTTCACTTCCACTCAAAGCTTATCCACTTGCAGCTAAAGATACTCTCTCAAATGATGGAAATATTTGTTACCATAACACCTCACCAAAGTCTCAATATTGGACTTATCCTAAATTCTTTGTATTGGGTCTTAGGCAAGTCTAATAAGAAAAAAAATCCTTCCTCTCCACTGAAGTAATAGGAATATAAAATCAAGGTGTCAAACTTTTTTTGATACCAAAATACTATGTTACCAATAAGAGTAACACTGGAGAATATGCTTATACCCCCTGGCAAGCTGGATTCCCCAGTATTTACCCACCTGGTCACAAGGCTGGGTCAAGAAGCTGTTCCTCACAGCACTGCACCCTGCAAAATCTATAGTCGAGTGTGTGCTCAGTCACTCCCTGAGCCAGAAGCAAGGAAGGAACAAGAGAAGCTCTGTAGACCCAGTTCTTACTCTCAGCCTCATCAACTAATACATACATTCCCCCTCACATGGGAAAAGCAGAAAGATGAATAATAACTAATGCACAATTAATACATGATTAATAATAGAAGCTCTTCAAAGGCTTTTCTTGGGGGATGTGAGACTTGAAAGACGATAAGTAGGATTCAACTTCAGAGATGAAGACATGTTGGAGAGGAAACAGCAAGAGGACAGATCGGAAAGTGCACCCATGGTGGAGGAAGGAAAAAAACATCCGTCTCTGTGGTTTGAGAAGCAGGTGCCTGGGGGTGTAACTAGATTTTCTGGACAATGTAAGATGGTGTGGTGACTTTGGAAAGTGGTTTGGCAGTTTCTTAAAAAGTTAAACATAAATTTACCACACAACCTAGCAATTCCATGCCTAGGTATCTACCCAAGAGTAATGAAACTTTGTGTCCATACAAAGACTTGCACAAGAACGTAATGTAGCACATTATTCATAATAGCTCCTAAGTGGAAATAGACCAAGTGTTTATCAACTGCTGAACAGAGAAGCAGAATGTGCCACATCCACACAATGGGATACTACTTGTCAATAAAAAGGGATGAAGGAATGATACATGTTGCAACATGAAAAAACGTAAAAATATCATGCTAAGATTTAACAACTAAGTGAAAAAAAGGTAGATGGAAATTGCACATATTATAGTATCTCACTGGTATGAAATGTCCAGAAAAGACAAACTTATAGAGACAAAAAGATTAATGGCAACCCAGAGTGGGGTGGGCTGTAAATGGACATGAAGGGTGAATATTTTTGGGTTGGTGGAAATGTTCTATGATTATACTTAGTGGCTTGGCAGCTTTATAACTTTACCAAAAAGTATTGATTTGTATTCTTAAAACAGGTGTAATTTATGACATATAATTTCTACTTCAATCAAACTGTAAAAATTAAATTCTCAAAGTCAGACAGAAAGGAAAGAATAACTGCAATTTTTGAATTAAATATAAAACTACTGAAATTCTAAAACTTAATAGCTGGGACTGATAAACTCTTTAGAGGACAGGCAAATAAAAAGACAGATTAAAGAAATCACTCAGATGTAATTCAGAGGGTAAAAAAACATTTTTAATAACATTTAGGGTATGGAAGTCTGTTTAAGAAAAGGATGCAGGCCATGGCAGAATGAAGGGAAAAATCACTGACAATTTTCCAGAATGAAAGAGAGTATGAGTTCTCCATAGAAAGTATACAAACAACTGGAGGGCTCTGATGAATATCAAAGATAAACAAATCTAAATCTGAAATGCTCTCAAGGCAGATTATCTAGTATGATGAGATTGGTAGAATTTGTACCAGCAACAATTAGTGTCAGCAGTCAGTGGAGTACTGTCATCCTGTAACATGATGAGGCTGTCCACTAGAAATTTATAACCAATTAAGTGATCACCCAACAGCGAAGACCAAATAAAGACATTTTCAACTACAGAGACACACAGAATTCCCTCTACCACCAAGAGCCCTACAGAAATAATCATTAAAGGATGAACTTAAGCTAGAAGGAAAACAAACCCAATAGGAAGACTCTGGATTCATGGGAAAAAATAGTAGCAGAATTAAAGAAATGTCAGTAAACTTAAATTTTTGACTACAGAAGTGATTTAAAAAAAAAGACTGCACATAATGATAAGATGGGGCCAGGAGCTGTTAAATGGGTAGAGTGTGCGAAGTGTGTAGGGTTAAAGAATTACATGATAACTTTCTTAGACAAATTATGTCATAAAAAAGCATGTGTCAAAATAAAAGACAATTTTGAGAAGAACAGAAATAAAGCCTAAAGCTTTCAAGCCAGCAGTGGAAAATGAAGAAACATTGATCATTTTGCTAATCTAATAGGAGGCAAGCAGGAAGAAAAAGAATGAATAATGGTAGCAAATGAAAAAATATAAAATGGGATTGAAAAAAAAAGGCCGAAATGTATTAGTATTCACAATAAATACACAAGGATTACATTCACCTGTCAGAGAAACAAAAAACAAAACCTTAGCAAAGATTAAACACAAAGAGATGAAAAATATGTCATGCAAAAGCCAAAAGAAAGGTGGTTTATCAATCTCAAAAATGCCTAATTTCAGCAACTAGCATGGAACATGGTAAAGAGAGCACCACGTAAGAATTAATTGTGATTTCCAATGCAGAATATGCTTTGAGAAAACTCCTACCGTGCTTCAGATCATACCTGCTTTCTTCACTACCACATATCTTCAATGCTTGGCCTATTAGAGGTATGTCATGAAGATGAACGAGTGGACCACTTACCACATTTAAGGAGATGAGCTGTCACTGGGTTTGTCACTTCACAGGGTGCATGGCCACGTCTTATTCAGTTTTGTGCCATCAAGATTGAGCACCGCAATTGGCACATAGTAGGCACTCCATACATTCAAACTGAATTCAAGGTTTGTCCCTTCCATAAGAACCTGCCCAGAATGCCTTCCTTTGCTTCTATTTCTATTTTATTTCATAATTTAAAACACCCAATTTAGATTACACAGCAGTGTCTTTTGGGTTTGTCTGCATATTTCAAACCCCATGTCTCCAAAAGTATTTTAGATTCTTTGCAGGTAGAGAAGATGCCTTTATACTGTGCTCAGCACCTTGAATGGGTACCTTTTTGGATGGGTGTCACTCCATGAATGTCGATTAGCTCAGTGATGCCAGTCCCGCATGCCACACCCTCCAAAGGGTATCCCCAATTCCCCTTTTTTCCCTATCCTTGACTCAAGAGACTACTGGAGATAGGTTCCTAGACAAAGAAAAAGAAGTTCATAGGAAGGGCAATTTCAGCCCTCTATGCTTCTTCCTTCTGGCAAAACAGTCAGGGGGAAACTGCCTGTGGTCCTGGTTGGGGGGAGGGGCTGGGTAGTGAGGAAGATGATTTGTCCCAAGCACTATAGGACAGAGCCTGCATCTGACCTTCCATGACAGCAGGTGTGGTGACAGAAGTTTATCTCCAGAGCAAAAGGAAATCCCAAGGCAAACAGCTAAATTCACCCATTGGGGAGGTGTATACAGGACAGAGAGGGAGGGGTGCTGTTTTCATGGACAAGGCCCACGAAGGGGAAGTGGCAGAGGGTTGACAGAGGGCGTGGGGGGCATTTTCTCGCTGGTCTGGGGAGATTCAATCTATGCGCTGGAATGAGGGTAGGGAGAAGCTGGCTGACCTCCCCAGGGCCTTCGTAATTCCATAATCAAATAGTGAATGGTGCTTTTCCAGGTTTAAACTCCTACATACATCCACATGCAATTTGATAGTAAGTCCCCTGGGCTGCCTTCCAGGTCTAGTACGGTGCCACGCAAGCCGCTGGCACTCAACGAACCGCTCAAATATTTGTTGAACGAATAAATGAATCAAGTGTTTAAACAGAGCCCACATGACCGCCCTACAGCGATGAATGAAATCAAAACATTCCAGGCACGATCACTTGAGCACAGCCAGCAAAGACACACGCACACGCACACACACGCGCGCACACACGCGCGCGCACACCCCATCACCGATCCTGGTCCCCCCACATTCCCACCGTGGGAGCCCCGGCCACCCCGGCCACCTGCGCAGCGCAGGCTGCAGGAGTTTCCTGGGCAGGCTCCTGGCCCCCTCTCTGGGCAGGTGCCTCCGGAAGGTCAAGTCACCACGTCTGAGGGCGGCGACCTTCCAGGCTGGCCTCAAAGTTTCTGCCGGGATTCGGTCTGGGCCTCCCCAGGCACGCCCGCGCTCCCTGGGCAGCCCCGGGCGCCCAGCTGGCCGGCGCGCAGCCCTCGCCCTTCCTCCTACCTTGGTGAGCTGGGCGATCTTCTTGCACATTTTCACGTGCATCTCGGGATCGCAGTCGGTTCTCCAGTCCGCGCCGCCGCGGGCATCGGCTTTGGAGCCCGGGCAAGTCCCGGGCGCGTGGATCTTGCTGTTGAGGGCAGAAGCCATCGCGGAACGCGCGCAGCCCTCCAGGGCTCTCGCCGGGGTCCGCGCCGCCCGCGGGGCACGTGCGTGCGCGCGCGGGGCCGTCTCGGGCACTGCAGTCCCCCGTCCGCACCGCCGCGCGGCCCCTGCCCGGCCGGGGCGCCTCCCGCCGCCCGCGCTCCGCGGGCACCCGCACCCTGCGGCGAGGCGCCCGCCGCTCGCACGTGCCTCCCGGGCCCTGCGCGCCGCGCCCCGCGCGTGCGGTGTCGCCGGCCACCGGAGAGCTCGCGCGGGGAGCGCCGGCCGTGGACAGCTTCGCGCCGGCCGGGCGCGGCGCTCTCGGACACGTGGGAGGCGCCAGGCTCCGGGCTCCGCGGCGACCGACCCCGCCCGCGGTGGGCATCCCAGGCCGAGGAGGCCGGGCAGCCTTCCTCGGGCCTGGGCCGCCGGCGTGCGCGCCTGGGGAGCGGCCCCTGGCTATTGGCTCGGGGGAACCAGTGGCCGGGAACCTGGCACCTTGTCCCTCGCGCTAAGTCCGCGCCTCAAGCGGGGCCCCGAGGGCGGGGGTGAAGGGCGGGATCCCAGAGCGCAGCCTGGGGTGAGCGCCAGTCGCTGGGACGCCAGAGGGTGCCGGGGTTCGGGGCATCTAGCATGCACCCTCGCCCGGACTGCAAATGGGAACCCCCCCACGCCCCCACTTTCTCCCATCTTGGGGAGGAGCCGGGACGTTGCGGGAGGATTGCGGGAGACGCCGAACAATAGGAAGGAGTGAAGGCTGAGGGGCTGGAGACGGAATCTGGGGCCAGAGAGCGAGAAACGTGCCGTGCAGCGAGCAGGGGAGGCGCAGAGAAAGTCATAGAAAGGATGGGCGGGCGTGGGAAGGGGGCGCTGGACCAGATGGAACCGAAGTCTCAGCAAACCGAGCCCCGTGAAGCGACGTGTCCGTGTTCACACTCCTGATAACCGCGGAGTCTGGAGCCAGAATCCGGGCCAGTTTTAGGGTTACCGGCTTATCTTTTAGTTTGGTGAGTGAAGAGGTTAGCCAGCCAGATTTCTTTGTGGTTTGTTCTCTCTGGTTTCAGACAGTGGCCTTCGGCCTAAGTGACCATATGGATCAGCTTTTCCTAAATCGTGAATAGCAGCATTATCATAATAAGCAATTTGCATGTTGATATACTTCATTCTACAACTGCCTTGTAGCAAGTTTTAACCCTGATAAACAAAGCAAGAAAGCTTCAAAGATCTCAGAAACCACAGCCCCAACCCTCCACACTGTGGGCAACAATACCCATATTCATAGATGAGAAATAAATCTAGAAAAGTTGTATCTTGTTGTGCAACTTAAACATTATAGAGTTGTGTCTGAAACAGATATCCTATGCTAAGTTCCTTACATCTGCCTCAGTACATGACACTACATAGGAATGGCCAGCCTGGGTGTGTGGGGGCCTGGTTTGTCATCTTCAGCACAATTACCCCTCCCCCATTCATGTAGAAAACAGATGCCTGCCTCAGAGTCACTGCAAGGAGACTGATGGAGATTCTGGACTCTTCTCTAAGCTCCCCAGACTAAACCTTTGGTCCACATTTTAAACACCACCCCCCCCCAATGCCAAACTGCTTAATTACATTTTCTGCAGGATCTTAATACAGACTAAACTTTACAGGAGTTACCATGCAAACTGGGGGAAATTAGGCTCTTGGTGCAAAACTACCAAAAGTTGTTCACCATTTTAAAAAATCATCTCATCAGTGGGTTATACTCATGCTGTCTGGTTGTCCACACAGCACTTTTGTGACTGCCACGTCAGGATGAGTCCACACGCACACATCTATCACCTTATGTCACACAGCCCATTTGACCAGAGCATCTCCCTCCTGAAATACATTTATTTCTTTCATTTCTTCTATTACCATCAAGAAATTACACTGGTTTTTAAAATGCATGCATGAATTTTTAAAAATTCTTTATGAATTTCAAGATAGCTGCATGAACATTATAAACAAGGGGAGACTGGATATGAACAGGATTGAGAACCAGTGCTCTAGATCACACAGACACCAACGTTTCCTAACGCTGCAGTCTACCCCCAACTTCCAGTGATTTAAATATGATTTTATTAGGCCCAGAGGCCATAAAATTTTCCAGCAAGATATATTATACTGTCAACTTTTAATGGAAGACAGTGGGAAAGTCAGATTCCCTTATCAGAGTTTGTGGGACAACAGTTACTGCATTTAATAAGGTCCCACCAGCTGACCTGGGCAGGTGCCGGAATTCTCTGAATTACAGTTCCTTTCAAGCTATCAGGAATGAAACAATGGACAGGGGAGGATTAAGCAATGTATGGTTTCCAGGGGTGGAAGAACATTTAGTAGACCACTGAGATGTTGTTGGTGCTATGCTAAGCCCTTTCAAATGTTCTCACCTCCACAAAGGTCCTTATGACCCTCATTCCACAGACTAGGGAAATGAAGCTAAGGGGGGCAAAGTACCCAAATTTTTATAGCTGGCAAGTGGATCTGGGTCTATTTGACTTCAAAGGCTATTCTCTCCAAAGCACAATGCTGGCTATTTGAATTTTTGAAAACTTTTCTTGATTTTGTTTCCTTTGCATTTTTATAAAAATACAAGCTTCCTGTAGGATTGTCCTCCCCCACATCACAGTTGAAATAATAATAAAAGTAAGTATAAGAAAGTAAAAACCAGGCTTCCCTGGTGGCACAGGCAGTTGGGCACCACACTGTGAAGCTGTCTGCAGCCTCTGCACCGTGGGTTCGATCCTGGCCAGCAGGTGAGAATCCCACATGGCAAAACAGACCTCTCCTGTCTCGCCTGCTGCTCCCCTCAGCAGTGTATTTCATCAGTCTGCCTGCTCTCTTCCCCTCTTAGTCTCTGGTGAATCCTCTCACCCTCCTGCACATCTGGCCTGTACCCTGGTTCTTGTATAAAAATAAATAAATCTTAAAAAAAAGAAAAGAAAGCAAAAACCACTCAAGTCCCATACTCAGAGAAAATCACTATTATTTTGGAGAAGATCCTTCTACACATCTCTCTGCACACAACTGGAAAGTATCATGTAAATTTTAAAAACATAAGTGGGATACTATAAGATTTTTGAATCTTATTCACTCAATATAAAATGGACATCTTCCTTTCCTTTGTCAATATAAATCAAATTTTCCATTTTTTTTTAAAGATTTATTTATTTCACCAGAGACAGAGCAGGGAGCAGAATAGGCAGATGGATCGAAAGTAGTGCTGAGGGGAGCAGTGGGCGAGACAGTCTGCTGTGCCATGCGGGTATCTCCCTGGCCAGCGGGGAATCGAACCCGCACTGCAGAGGCTGAGGACAGCCTCACAGCGCTGCGCTCAACTCGCTGCACCACTGTGGAGGCCCCGAATTTTCCATTCTTAACAGCCTGTATTCCATTATATTCATTAACAATATATCCTACCCTCGACCAAAATATTATCTTTTTATATTTTAAACAAAATGTTTCATATTTATATTTGCTGTATTATGAGAATATACATATTCTCATACATACTGTATTTTGGAGGATGGGAAAAAACAAAGGATATATGAAACTCATGCTAAAATGGGTAAATAAATAGCTCATGGGATAGACTTCTTAGCTGTGTTAGAGCAGATAGTATACAAATAGTAAGACATGATAAAGAGAGGATGGAATGTGTTAAAACAGTGAACATACAAGAGTGTTACAACAAAAAAGATATAAAGGCCAGGTTGTAAGATAAAGATGATGCCACCTTTACAAAAACAGCAACAGCTTCCTTAAAATGCCATTCATCCTAGCCACATGCATGCTCTTCCACAGACACATAAACAAACATGGCTCTCAGGAGGTCATTAAGCAGGCTGCACACCTCTGACAAAGCAAGCATGTACTGAGCTCCCTTTCTCTGTTTCAACTGTGAGCCTCATGACGGCACCATCAGAAGAGACTGAAGCAGCAGACAGGACAACTGCAATGACAGCATAAGATTCAGCACCTCCCTGGCACCCTATTCCAAATGTCTTAAACGCTTTCATACTTTTTAACTGACTTGTATTTGAAAGTGATCCAATAAGCCGTGCAATTTGATCACCTTAATTTGTGCGTGAAGTTTTCTGTCCATGACATTTGGGACAGCCTGTTCGATACTGTGTTTGGAGGTGACCACTGTGTTAGGATTATTTCCTACACAACATGGCACAAGAATCTTTGCACCGATGCACATTTATTTCATGGCAATACATCCTAGAATAAGCCAGTTTCAAAGAGGAGGCAAGTTTTTATTGTTTTTCAGAAGTTACACCAATTTATACTTGTTAATAATACACAAAGATGTTTTTTCCATACCCTTGTCCAAACTAGCTGCCATTTATCTTCAGATATCTTCCAATTTAATAGGCGAAATGTTTGTTTGCTGATGAATAGAGCTGTTCGAACACCTTTCCATGAACTGATTCATCATTGGCATGACACGTTCTGTGTATTGTTTTTGTCTGGCTTCTTTCTTCTCAAATAGGAGGTCTTTCTTTGCAGGGTCTTTTTTTTTTTTTTTAAAGATTTATTTATTATTTATTTATACAAGCACTGGGTACAGTCAGAAGCGCGGGAGGGTGAGAGAATTCGCCAGAGCCAGAGCCGGCAGCAGAGCAAGCAGAAGGACTGAAGTACACTGCTGAGGAGAGGAGAGCAGCGGGCGGCAGGAGAGGTCTGCGCGCCATGTGGGACCCTCCCCCGGTGGCTGGAGAGCAGCCGGGGATCGAACCGGTGCTGCAGAGGCCGCTTGCAGCTTCGCAGCCCAGTGTTCAACCGCTGCGCCACCGGGGAGGCCCTCTTTGCAGGGTCTTTTAGCATTTTGTTGACCATCTACATGGCAGATGGAATTCCCCAGCTGGTAACTTATTTTAAATTTCTTCTGCTCTATAAACATTTTGAACTTATTTAAGCAAATCTATTGATCTTTTATATTTCTTAGTTTTTGCGCCATGTTTAGAAAGTCCTTGCTCATCCAAAATTAGTTTCTCCTAGCACTTTCAGGCCTTCTTTTTTTTTTAATGTTTACTTTTGATCTAGCTGGGATTTATGCTCATATACAGAGGATGGAATCCAGACTTCTGTCTTTCCAGATGACTTAAACAGTTGTCTCAACAGGTCCTTCACCACACTGATAATCTCTGTGCTGCCTTAGGTGATTTTATTCAATAGGAAATTTATGAAGGTGCTTTTTTTTATGCTTAGTAATTTTTCCTCCCAATCAGCTAAGTAGCATAAGTAAATCTATTGTTACTTTTGTTAATACACTTCTATGCATCAAAAAACAAAGGCCATTCTTGAGCATTTCACTTCACCCCTTTACCTAGAAGGCTATTTTCATTATGTTGCCTGACTCACTTCTGCTCATCTTTCAGTTTGTATGTCCCTAAAATATGCTTTTACGGCTCTGCATTTCTGCATAGCGTTGGTCTTATTTTATTTTTAAGAGCTAGTTTTCTGCCAAATATCCCTTTTCAAGTGAAGAATGCAATAAAAGAACACATAGCTTAAATGGGTGCTGTGCTTTTATTATAATCCTGACAAACACATTAACTAGTACCAGTTTCAGCAAAGGTAGCCTGGTATGGGTCTTCTATTTCACTTCCACAGGAGGCAAATAAAAACAAAACCCTTTGTCAGAAAACAGCAAAATTTGTGCTGAGATGACAGTATGTTATCATAATACCACGAAACATGACATGTAGGAATAAAATGCTTTGTGTTAAAATTCAGTAAAGTTTTATCTTCCCTGATACCCATCAATTCTCATAAGCTCACCATAAAATCCTGCATTTTCTAAAAGTATATTTTGAAACAGGTAAACTCTTCATTTTTCTCATGGTAGAATATTCAGAAGTGAAGTCACCCTTCCACCTGTTTCTAGTCACTGGTTCAACTGAGTCTGTTCCTATATGAGCATACAAAGCAGCACAGTCTTCTGACTCATTTCACGCAGTGAGTAAGGAAGGGAATGGCTTTCCTGTACCACATGTTTGCCATGTTTCTTAGCCTTATTTTCATCAGATCCAACAGTAAACACTTGATACCATAATAATGCAAATATATGTCATGGACTAAAAGTGCTCAAAAGTACTTGTCTTTAAAAGGCACTAACTGCTAGAGATGCATTTAAGTTTGTGTTGGGCTATACTCAGGGAAAAGTCCAATTTGGGAATTCTTAAGTCTTTTGAGGACAACCCCAAAACAGATTGTCAACTTTGTTACCTCATATCTCATGAAAAGGACAAACCCCAAAGATATGTATTAAAGACATCTATAAATCACTTATGATCTGGAAAAAATAAAGGCTGTAAAGAGTATGAAAAAAAGGAGCAAGTACTAGATAAAAATGAGATACCTAAAATACTGTTTTCAGTATTTCAAATTTCAAAATGTCAGTAGTAATAGGAATACTTTAATAAAGAAAATTTCTATACTACCTAATATTATACATGTAGCTAATTTGAGGTGAATTGCATACTTAAATGTGAAAGCTAGAACTATGGCTTCTAATTTAAAAAAAAAAAAACAAAGTAAAGGAACACACAAAAACAAAACAAATGAACCTTTGAAATCTGGCTGTAGAACAGAGGCAGTATACCAGAGGGGAGAGTGGGAGCAAAGGCAGGAGAGGGTCCAATGGACTACAGTGAAGGATTTTGGGGGCTTGGTAGTGGGTATGGTATGATAACATACATTTGCAGAGGTGTGAACCTTTATCCCTAACCATTCATATATGTATGAATATATATATAATAGTATTATAAGAAACATTACCTCAATAAACAGTAAATAATAAATGGCTTCTAAAGAACTCAAATACGATCAACAGATAAACTGAATTACAAATGAATTACAGCATATTCACATGGTGGAACAGTCTACAGCAATAAAAAATGAGCTCTCAGTACACGCAGATATCCTGGATAAATCACAGATAATTACACTGATGAAAGAAGTCAAGCACAAAACACTACAAACTGTAGGATCCCATTCACATGAAGTTGAGAACAAGTAAAAACAAACTGACCTTTAGAAGAGTGGGGAAAAAAATAAAAGTTGTTATTTTGAGGGAGGTATAAACTAGGGACAGGTACTAGTATACTCTAAGCTTAGTGTATAAAACTTGATATGGGTGTATACCTATCTGAAAAACCATCATGTACACTTAAAATTAGTGAATGTACTTTTTGTATTTTACTGTAGATACGTTTATCCCTTACTTAAAAAAAAAAAAAGGACAGAAAGGACAGACAGATCAATTGGCCTGGTATAGTTGACTCAATAGATTTGATAACAGTAAAAAAAGTATCACCATGCACAATCATTTGCAATCAAATCAAAATTGATTCTGAGATTACATAATATATATATATCAACAAAACATAAAGGCAAAGCCTCAATAGTAACTCTCAGAAAAAAAAAATGAAGCATTATAGAGGAATATTATGGACATGTCACCAAATATAACCATATCTTAATAACAAAAATAGCATGGAAGATGAAACACAATATGAGTTGAGTTTTATTTTTGAAGAAGTAGATGATTCTTTATGCTAGTGAGTCTATAGTGGCTAAAATTTAAATGAGAAGCTTGTTGAAATTACTGCTATAGACTATGCACTATTTTTGTAAAAAAAAAATTGAGTTATTTTTACAAAACAAGTTATTGAATGATATTCCTATCTAGTGAATACAATGAACAAAAGGGCACATCTTACTGAAGTTCAGCATCTATTGCAATTGCAAAGTATGATCCCTGAAGAAACAATCTATTTGCTGAAAATATTACATTTGAAACTACATTTTTCATGTCAAACCTGTGAAACCTGAATGTTAAATTTACATGAAAATAATTAATTTTAAGGAATAAAATTTCAGATTTATTTTTGTGATATAGTGATGCTGATTCAAAAATGTGTTATTTGCTGTACTTTTATTAATTTCCTCATTTTATCATTAACCTAGTTATTTTCCCACATACTTTTTTCTTTTTACCTATTGTCCCAACATTTTTCTCACTCCTTTCTACATTTTTCCAAGTGCTCAAATGTTTCTCTACACTGCCCAGAGACTGACTTCCTGAAATCCCCACCCTACTTACGTGGCACAGCAGTCATTTTGGGACTTTCCTTCACTGCAGTCCTTTGTGAGACTGACATCTTGTTCTCAGAATCCACTGCCTTCTTACTTAACTTATTCCTTTGTTTTGGTGAAGCATGTCCTCCAGTAGCCTCCTAAAAAGGGTACATAATAAGACGTAATTTTGAAACCATGCAAGTCCAAACTTTATTTAAGCCCATACTTGGGTTGTCTGGGTTCAGAATTCTATATTGGAAATAATTTTCCTTTTAAATTTGAAGGCCTTGGGCCTCCCTGGTAGCGCAGCGGTTGAGCGCTGCACTGTGGGCTGTCTGCAGCCTCTGTAGCGCAGGTTCGATTCTCGGCCGGCCAGGGAGATGCCCACATGGCGTGGCAGACCTCTCCTGTCTCGCCCACTGCTCCCCTCAGCAGTGCTTTCAGTCCGTCTGCCTGTTCTGCTCCCTGCTCTCTATCTGGTGAATCTTCTCATCCTCCCGTGCCTCTGGCCTGTACCCCAGTTCTTGTATAAAAATAAATCTTTAAAAAAAAAGTAAATTTGAAGGCCTTGCTTTCATTGCCTTCTGGCATCCACTGCTGCTACTAATGAGTTTCTAAGTGTCATTCTGAAAGCATTCTTTTATATGACGCTATTTCTCCCCTTCAGGTACTTTTAGCATCTCCTTTAACCCTGGCATCCTGAAATATAGCCTGCTTTTATGTTTGTTTAATTCATTAGGCCAGCCACTCAGTGGATCCTTTTAATTTAGGAGACTCATTTCTGATATTTTGGGGAAATGTTCCTCAATTTTATCTTCTCACTTCCTTTCTTTTTTCTCTTCACCTCTTATTTATCTAATGTTGTATCCCATTCTGAATTTCTAAATTTATTTTATTCTTTCCTATTTTCCATCTCTGTCTTTTTACTCTACTTTCTGAAATTTCTTCCACTTAATCTTCCATCACATCTACTGAATGTTTAATTCTGGCTTATTTTTCTAATACTTTCAAGTTCTAATTTTTCCTTTTTTATAGCATCTTGTTTTCATTCCATGAATGTAATATATTCTCCTGGTTTTGAGACTATTACAGCTTCTTTGGGGAGTTTTATGTTCCCTGCATTATATGCAATATTTTTCAGATTCTTTTAGTTGTTTTGTTTTTTCTCTTTCATTGTTGGAAGTCCAGTGATCCTTTGCTATGAGGTTCTAAATCAAATGCCTGAAAGTTGTGTATCAATAAGCAGGGCTTATGGCCTCTGATTTTCACTGTAACAAATAATCATATGGCAAACTGTTCAATTGTTCATCTTGCTAGATGGAGTGGGCAGGGCTGGGTATAAGCCCAGTTGCCAGATTCTGTAGCGCGGTGGAAAAGGGGCACTGAAGACTCACGAATACCTACATTCTCTCAACACTCTTTTCAGCATAGAGCCTAGGAACACCAGCATTCTCTCCTTCACACATATCAGTTCTATGTCCAAGTGGGGCTTAGTTGCTCCACAATCCTCCAATCTTTTGCTAGAAAAGAGGCATAAGAGGCATGGTTGCCTAATTACAAAAGGAGGGCAAAAACATACTTTCAAGTAATCCCCTTGTTCTCAACTTTGCGCTTCGTTCCCATCTTCCAGGTTAACTTGTTCTTCAAATCCTTGGGTCTTTGGGGAGTTCTGGAAGGTGTGTTCCAAATTTCTGTGATGATGAGTGAGTGCCAGAATTGTGCTACCTAGCAAATATCTTTAAAAAAAGCAATACACTTAATCTTTCCCTTTTATAGTGAGTGAGAAAGTCACCGCTAAAATATATATACAAACAAAACCCACAAACCCAAAGTACCTGTTTTTGAGATAGTACTTAAAAAATTTGTGTCTGGCAATGTCCGAAAGGTTGTGTGATTATTTTAGCCAGCTATGTGTCTTCTATAAAAATTCTTATATTTGCAACCAAGCTTCCTCTTCCACCTCTCAACAGCAGTTGTATCCTTGGGTCAACTGTGTGTAAGCATCTCTTTCCCCTCATCAAGTATTTGGATGTAAGACAGCAACACATAATGGGAAGAGCTGGGCTGCTTCCTGGGAATAACTGCAAGACTACAGCCCAAGCTGAATCAATGTTACCTGGATCAATGCTAAATTTGCAGGGTTTCCAGATAACATCTAGGGTGCCAGTTAAATATGATTTCAGATTTTTTTTTTCTGGTAGAAGTATGTCCTATATTTCATTGTTTATCTGAAATTCAAATTTAATTGACCATCTTGTATTTCTGCTATATCTGGCAACCCAAGACATTTAAACAAATAACATGAGCTGCAATTACTCTTAAGCCCAGGGAATAAGGCACAACCTCCCAAATGATCCCAGGAATATTCATGTCATATGTCTTCCCGAACTATGATCCAAACCTACACTGAGCTAACATTTTTAAACTGACTCCATGCTGTTTGGGAGCGATAACTCTGGTACTGTCTGCTTGATACTCCAAATTATTTCAGTCAAGCATTTCTTTCCCATATCTCATTGAAAAGAACTCATTGTGACTCTCCCAGGTAACAGAAGATGGGCAGTCTGTAAGTATCAGATTATTGCGGTATTGTTCTTTTTTTGTCTCATACCCCAAACCTTCATAGTATCCATGTATGAGCCTCCTGCTGCCACCAACTGGAAGAGTAGGGCATTACATTCAATGATCACAAAATCATAAGCACCATCAAGATTGTTTTTAAATTGGCAGAGATGCATCACAGATATTTTTCTTTTAATAGCAATTTGACACAGATGAAATACCCAGTGGCCGATATCAGCTATTGTATCTCCATCAACTTTCTGTTGCTCATTGGTGGAATCATATGCCAGCAGTTGACATAAATTGTTTCATGAAGTCTCTGAAGTTTATCCATTTTCTGGGCTTTCCTATATATTGTAGTAACATGAACAAAACATGTCAATGCCTTGTGAATTTAGCACATACAACTTCACATGCTTCTAAAATACCTATTTATCCCCTTGGCTACTAGTGAGGGTTTAAGGGGTTTAATTAGGGGAGCACACTCTCCATACACATTCCCACTGCACTTGAATGGCTGTCCCAGTCACTTTTGTGATTCCCCATTATAAGCCATGTTCAGACTAAAGGTGTTAGGACTAGATCCAAGAAAGCAGAAATGGCATCAGTGGTCAAAAGCTTGGGGCAAATTACAGTGGTTAAATGTTAAATGTATTTTAAAACTAATTTCTTATGAAGTTTTTTTTTTTTATTTCACTTTGCACTCCCAGCATCAGGATTATAGCAGGCACATGGTAATGCTACCTGATGAATGACTAATCTAACAGGAGATTTAAAACAGATATGTTGTTCCAAAAGACAGAGTTCTCTAACATTGGAGTCAAAAATAGAAAATCATTTGAGATATGAGAATTTATGTATCAGTAAAAAAATAACCTAAGTGGCATCTAAGGTCCCTAGTTGTTTTAATAATCTACTAATATCAAAACATTGTCTCTTCCTAGAGAAATTCTGTGATAGGACCCCCAGCAGGATAATTCCCTAAAGGCAGCCTTTTGCCCTCCTCCTGCCATGTATCCATTTTTTTAAAATTCTCTTAGGAAGCTGGTGGGATTTAAAGACATGTCTGTGGTCTCCTGGGCTCAACAAATATGGATTGCTTTAACAAGAAGCTACCTATCTAGATGGAGAGAGAACAGTGCCTTTAAATAACATTAATGGTTGTGGATTTAGAAATCTTGTTTCCTTACTCCTTCTATATTTCTAGAGGCTCATTTCCTTCTTTATCCTAATGGGAAGGCCCATGCAGGGAGTGTACGAAAGTGCAAATTCACCCTAACCTGACATACACGACACACAAAAAAGGCTTATTCAGGTACATAAAAATTTGTGCAATCTGGAATTACTTCATATGGACAAACAAATGGGTTGAAAGCTGGGTCTTGATAGAGTATCTGACATTTTCTTCAAGTGTGTTTCATTTCTACAGCTTCAAAGTCATCTATCTGGTAGATGTGTATGCTGTATCTACTGACTCTATTCAGCATTTATAGAACATTGATGCCTTAAGCCTAGCAGGGTCTATTTCATTTGTGGAGAACAAATGACTGTACTCTGTTCAGCATGTACAAAGCTGTTGGTTTATTCAGCTGCAAAGATGGAGAAAGGTTTCCTTTGAGTGAATAGCAAAATGAGTTCGTGACCAAGGCATCTTTACTGAGAGGCATGTGCGCACACACACACACAGAGAAGAGTATGTTCTGATTACATAAATATCAACATACTTTAATTTTCAGACCTTCCTCCCTCTTCCCCATTTAAAGACGACACAGATTCTTGTAACATTTTAAAAAATTGCAAAACAATTTTTTACAGAACATTTACACAGAATAGTTTCTGATACATTCATTTTGCACTATCAGTTCAGTAATTTTCCATTAACAAATATTCTTACTACCTACTAAAATGCTCCCTTTTCCTTAAGATAACTAGTCTCAGCAAAAATTCTCACTAGATTATAAACATTCTCTCTTTAGAAAGTTGCTATACATTTATAGATGTGATTCCAATAACGTTTCAACGCTTTGATGCCACATTGCACACGGCACTTAATATGGCCAACAGAAAAAAGTAAAACCAACATAAGAATAAAGATGTATCTTTAACAACTGATTTTCTGACTCCCTCTTTATTGTAGGTGTGTGAAAAGATTCAGTGGTTTCATGCCAATTTTATATTGATTTCTATGTTTTGACTCAACTAAATACAGCAAGACTCTCTTATAAGGATACTCTTCCTTGTTCAACCGTTATAGAAAAATAATGATAAAAAACATCAATCTCAGACTGTATTAGACTGAGATGCTCTGTAGTAAGGGTCTTAAGTTAAAAAGATTCCTGAAGTTTGCAAAGGGTATGGAAAGTGCATAAACTATTGCTGCAGGAAACACTATACAAATAAAATGTTCCAGTCCACTAGAATTAATGTGAAGCATAAATGTCCTCACTCCTTTCCCACTGGTCTTCTGAAATGTGTTTTACTTACTCGCGACTAAGGTCCGGGTTCCAAGATGCAGGAAACATACTATTGTTAGGACAGGTGTTTGTTTAAAACAAATCCCAAGGTATGGTCTTATAGGCCAATTCAAAGTCAAGCCGGCACGAGCCTGTGACAGAATTTACGCTGTATTATAGATACCATAACAGGTCTGGGGCAGGGTAGACTGGGTCTGAAACTGCATTCTCTCCCCAAGAATCAGAAAGCCCAATAGGGTACCTTATCTAGGTCTATCTACATAAAAGCTGGAAGATAAATCCATAGCCCCATCATTTCCTTTTGTCGTTATTCAATTTAACTCCCTCTAGCAATGAATGTCAGAGACGAGCATGCTCTGAAAGATGTCACTGGGAGTTAATGACTCCACTTTCCATAATGTGGTTCCGAAGACTGGGTGACACAGGGAGTAGTGGCCTACTTTTTTCTTCAAATTAAAAAATATCTACTTTAAGAGTTCACTGAGAGAGCAAAGTGGGGAGAACTGAATGTGAACAGTCAATTTACTTTTTGTAATATGGTTGCTGCTGACCATTTCTCCACTGATGTTCTCATTTTATCCACAGGGCCTATCCAAGAGCATACAACCCACATTTTCTATAGAAGATTAGGGGATTCCTGGGTGTACATTCTGTCCCTGGAAGTACTCTGGCTTGTCAGGACAGAGCATTGTATGAGAAGGCAGCAGTCTCTCAGCTGTGGGCTGTGGAACTCTGTACTTCCTTCTCAACTGGCAACATGAGAGCTATCTGGCAAGTGGTCGATCTTTACAGCGATGCATTTAGGAGTTTGTTAACTGCCTTCTGGAAGTCAGTATAGGAGTAAGTGGTGTTGATGGGTTCAGTACGGGTTGTCTCCTTAACTGTTTTAGTTAACCAGCCACAACAACAACCAGAAACACATGAGTTTGGGGTCTGTCTTAGGTAGTCAAGTATGGGAGTAGCTCTGCTCAGTGTTCGGCTTAACTGTTTGGTAGCAAACTGCAGTGCTCCATTTAGAGTGGCCTGGTTTCTAGAAAGTCGGCTGGGACTGGTAAGGGGCTTTTGAAAAGGTGGAACTCCACATGAAGCCAGAGGGGGCCATTCAGGAATTGGTTCCAGTTTGGGTACACAGTGGGAGCAATGGGAGAGTCTCAGACCTATCTCTCGAAGTATATGGACAGGTGTGCTCGGGTCCAGGAGTTTAGCATGATAGAGCCAGGAATTAGGATTTAAAGGTTTCCAAGTGGTAGAATATTTTAAAAGGCACTTAACCTGCCACGCAAGACTCTCTAGAGGCGTGAGGTTGGGCATCACAGGGTTATCTTCTTCAGAGGAATCCCACTCTTCCCCAGAACTCTCATTCAGGTAGTCAGCATTTTCTTCTTCCTCACTTTCTGAGTCTGATAAAGGGTCAGGAGAGGGATTTCTGGGACCCATTGGAGTACAACAGAAGAAGGAATCAGAAGAAGGTACCAATCTATGCCAGCAAAACACTAACACTGGCACAAAAAAAAAAAAAAAAAAAAAAAAAGATGAAAAATCCTTTCCACAAGATTAATTTGTTTCTCAGTCCATGACACACACAGTATAGTATGCCTCTGGGTCACATCTCTGTGCAGCTCTTCAAGATTACGCTGTATATTCTTCGATTACAGAGAAGACATCTTAGTTCTCAGGACCAGTTCTGTGTGTAAAAGTGTTAGTCACTTACCAGCAGCAAGGTTAGAGTCTCTCCTTCAAATCCCGACTACCCAGGAAGAGAATCTAGGCTAGCCGATATTCTGAGTGTGGTCTCAAATGGTCATTATATTGTGAGACACTGGTGTACTCTGCTTTGTTGGCAGGGATATTTTATCTACTTGGTAATGAAAAGAAACTCATTGGCTGCCTTCGTTGTTCGCTGGAGCAGGGGGACAGTGGGGATCGGTTGTCAAGGACATCGGGTGTACATGGCGCCGATGTTTTCCACTGGTGGTGCAAATGCTCTTGGAAACTGGTGACTTAGTTGTTGGACTATCTGGAAAGGTAGCCTTAACCTGTGAATGAGAAGACTAGAGACATGATAATAAAGCCTGAAAGTACTGGGTACCATTATTGTCCATCCAGCTGTTGCGTATCCCAGAACGTGGGTGCTGAAGCCTTATTGGCTTTCCCACCTAGAGCTCATAGGCTTCGGCAGACTTCCCTAACATGAATGACTCCTGATAACACAAAACTAGAAGAGGAGTCTGGTTTGTGGCTGTTATGACCATACTCACAGGTATGAGAGAGGATGGCAGTTACTAAGCAGGTATACACTGCAGGCATTACAATGAATATAAACAAATTAAACTTACAGTTAAGAGGCAGATACTCGGACTATATTAAAAAACAAAATAAACTTCCATAAATGCTGCTAACAAGCCATTTTAAATCAAGATGACACAGAAAGGTCAAAAAGAAAAGGGTAAAAAAGGACATCTCACACAACCGAGAAACAAAAAAAGCTGGGGCAGCAATCTCAGTATTCAACAAAGATAAGGGATAAAAAATATAAGGCATAAAGATGGATGATAATACCAGTAAAAAGAAGAGAGTAGGATAACATACATGTCATAAACATACATAAACCTGAAAGCACATCCTAAAAATTTCTCAAGAAACTGATAAAATTGAGAAGGAAGAAGTATAAGCAGGGATGTTAAAGGCAGAAAAATAACTAAAATAGTTAATTCATTTTAGGTATTACATAAGAGTACAGAACTCTACACCCAACAGAACAGATACATGGGCACACAAATCTACACACATAAATCCTGTTATTGTTCCAACGATGTGCCTGCTTTGTGGTTGTGTACTGCTTTGCTAAGGCTATCCATCAGGACTCACCAACCCAATTCTTGGTTTCATAACTAGATCAGGGTCTAGTTTTTTTTTTTTTTTAAAAGATTTATTTATTTATTTATACAGCACTGGGTACAGTCAGAAGTGCGGGAGGGTGAGAGAATTCACCAGAGCCAGAGCAAGGAGCAGAGCAGGCAGAAGGACCGAAGGACACTGCTGAGGGGAGGGGAGCAGCGGGCAGCAGGAGAGGTCTGCGCGCCATGTGGGAACCTCCTCCAGTGGCCGGGGAGCAGCCGGGGATTGAACTGGTGCCACAGAGGCTGAGGGCAGCTTCACAACCCAGCGCTCAACCGCTGTGCACCAGGGAGGCCCGATCAGGGTCTAGTTTTAAGGGTCAATTTCATTCAGATTAAAGTCTCTGACCATAATTTAATAAAAGATACTAAAGGTTAGTTAAAAGTAATCCTCTTCTGGGAAACGAAGTAACTCAAGGTTTACATGGAAATCATAATATTAAGAAATATTAAAAGTTAATAATATAAACACAAGCCAAAATTTATATGATATGGCTAACCCAGCACCTAAAGGAACGAGGAAGTTAAAATGTCCACAGTTAAGCATTCAAGAAAATGGAAAAGAGAAATAGTAAAATAGGCAGAACAATAATAAATGAAATACTGTATAAATATGTAGGAAATAAAATAGTATTTGGCAGAATAATAAAGAAGATTGATAAAAGATGGCTATCTGAAAATAGGAAAAAAGAAACTGAGTCTTATCAAGAAAGGTTTAAAAATAACAAAAAGATTACTTATAAGAACATGACAAATGCTAAAAATAAAAATCTAGATGAAACAGCTCAGTTCTAGAATATAAACAATAAATTTTGTATAGGAGGAAATAGACTTCTAGACCATTAGGTATTACAGAAACTGAGAAAGTATCAAACTCCTATTAAATATATTAGGTTCATACAGTTTTAGCGGTAAGTTATACTAAGCCTTTAAGGATACTTACAAGTAGTATCACAAAAAAAAAAAAAAAAGCATATGAACAGACCAATCTCTTTTAAGAGACTAAAGTATTAATTCCAAATCTATAGAGGAACTAATTTAGAAAAGTAGAGCACATTTCACTTGAAAAATATACAAACAAAACCTAGTATTGTCTTAAAAAAAGCAGCATGCCACAATCATGTAGAATTTATTCCAGGAAAGCAAGAGAATCTTGATATCAGAAAATTTATAAATATGTCACCACAGTAATAAAGTGGGGGTAGGGGGGAAGACCAGATAATTTAATCAATGGTGGATTATCTAACCTTTCCCTAGTTTCCAATCAGCATCTACTTATGCTTTAAGAAACAAAGCACTTATCAAACTAGGAGGAGTTCCTTTCTCAACTGAGTAAAGGTTATCTAGCAAAAAATTTTAGCCATTATCCTGAATGAGGAACTACAGACACCTTCCTTTAAAAAAACTCTGGTAAGGATGACCACGGCTGACACAGTGTCAAATCTCCTGATCAATGTTATACACACCCAGAACAAACAAAACATAACAAAGGAAATAAATGACAGGCATACAAATTGAAAGAAAAGGGACAAAAGAATTTACCTATGATATGGCCATCTAGTTTGAGAAACTAACATATAAAGTATTAGAGCTAATAAAAGGGCTCAACAAAGCTCCTGGACCTGATAAACCTATGAACAGTCATTCATTCATTTATGCAGCACTTACTATTTGCCAGGTACTATGCTAGGAAAATGCCTAAATTTTGAATCATTTTAGATTCTAGCAACTCTATAAGATAGATACTTTCCTTGTCCCATTTTACAGAAGTTTTTAAGCTACCTGCCCAAAGTCATACTTCTACTAAGTCAAAGAATCTGAACACAGGTACTCTGAACTTCTATACCACAACAGTACCTGGAAAAGGAATTACATATTTACCTTTTACAATAGAGGAAAAAAACGAAGAACATCAAACCTATAAAGGTTCTAGGAACTAATCAACATGCAAGACCTCTATGAAGAATGTAAAGTTGTAATAAGGGACACAGAAGATAATTTAAAATAGACATACCTTGTTCTTGGAACAAATAAATATTCAAATTTAACATATACAATCCTAATATGCAAAGAAGAAAATTCTACATGTAGCCAAATCAACTATTTAAATGGAAGTACAAAGAAGGTTCTTGTCCTACAAGATATAAACATATATTACAAAAGCCACAGAAATTAAACAAATGGAGTTAGTTTAAGGGCAAACAATCCAATTAAATAGAACAAAGCTGAGAAACAGAGCCAATACAAAATTTTGGCATGCAAAGCACAATAAATTAGTACATAAAACCAAGGGGGAAATGCATTTAGCACATATTGGTAAAACTGGTCGATGATGTGAAGAAAAATAAAATTGTTATACCTATATAATGTGACATATGAAGGAAAACTCATGAAGGATTAAAGGCTAAACAATAATCTAATTACATTACATACTTAATGTGTAAAACCACAGAGTTAACAGAATATAACATCAGGGACTGTATTTGTGTCTTCCTTCCCAGGGAAGGTGTTCTTAAATTAAAATAAATAAATAAATAAATAAAGCATAAGACCCAAAACAATGAATTTAACAATTCAACATTAATCATTTCTGGATTGAACCGCAGAACAAAGTTAACTACAAAATCAACAACAAAAAAGATAGCAACCTCAATATGGAAATTGTGAAAGCACAAAAATATCCAGTTTACAGAAGAGAACATCCACTAGCTACAGGCTAGGAGAGAGCACCCTATTCTACTAGCATGGTGAAGATGAGGAAGCCAGAGCATGCCAAGTGTTGAGAGGAGACTGATGAACTCCTTTAGGAAGCAGCACTGCTGGTCAATTAGCATGGGACAGCCTTTCTGAAGGACAATCTGGCTGCACTACATAGTCTATTTGCACATCTCCCAATCTAGCCATTCTACACTTACTAGTACATGCAGCAGGAAAACCCCCCAAACAAAAAACCACAAAACAAAACATGTACGGTGAAGTTCTGTCTTGGATGGTAAGGAATTAGAAGCACTCTGGGTTTCCAACTCTAGAGAAACAGACATGTAAAATGCAGTGACAGCACATTAAAAGTAAACACACCAACACAGACAGACTAAGGGCATAGCTCTAAATGAAAAAAGCAAAAAACAAAGTATCAATATTCCACTTATGCCTCTCTATAGGAAATCACTCTACAGGTGATTTCCAGTGAGTCAGTAAACATCTCCAGTTTCAAATACACACTGAGTTGTGTTAATAAGGTCCTATGGTCTGGTTTCATGTCAGTAATCGTCCCCTAAGGAACATTTTTCTGGCTTCTCTACACATTGTTTTTATCTAATTCAGTTCCCAGCAGTGTCTGGCACCTATTAGAGGTTTAGAACATTTTTGAAGGAATTAGTGACAAAATGATGATGGCCTGCTGTAAGGAACTATACAAGCACGCTTTATTTTTATTTTAGGGAGACAAAACTCCCAAATTTTATTTAGGTAATTTGGCAAAATGTCTGACAAACACAAATGAAACTAATTTTTTAAGAGCAATAAAGTACTAAAGGAATATAAACAGAACTGTTTATGACTTTAAGAACAAATACTTTTAAGTTTATAATAGCACCCAGTTCAATCTGAAAACAAAATCAAAATGTATTGTCTTCATTTTATTAATTGAGATGAGAAGCTGCTGGCTTTATTTCTTCTGCCCATTTATATTTCTACCACGTTCATTTCAACCAGATCCCACTGGCAAGATTACTGGTTATTGTGTTAATCATAGTGTTCTTTAAAAGGGTCAACTGTACTTTAGCAGAAATAAGACAAAGTATCTTTGAAGGTATATGTAAATTCTAGAGTGAACTCATCATATCAGGCCTTTGTATTCCATGTATAATCTTCCCATGTCAAAGCTGAATTGACCACTCATTCCATATACTCTGGGGACAACTTAACTTTAATAGGTTTTCTGTAATTTTAGGACTAACTAGTTTACCAGACAAATTCTCTAGTTTCACTATTTCTTCAACTAAACTAAGTTTACTAAAGACAGGAAAAGATTTATTTCCATAGTTGTCGTTATTTGTTCTCTTTTCTCACAGCAAAAGTCAAGAAACAGGTAAGCTCTAAAGCACTAAGACTATGATATTAAGTTCAACACAGCATCTCTTTTTACCAGTCTGGTGGAGGTATGATTGATGAAAATTATATTCTCAACACGTACAATGTGTTGTTTTGATATATATACATTTACTGCTTATATATATAAGCAGTATATATATGATATATATACATATATATATACATTTACTGTTTTGATATATATACATTAACCATCAGGTTTGTTAACACATCCATCACCGCACTCACCATTACCACTTTGTGCCTTATGAGAATATTTGAGAACTACTTTCTTAGTAATTTTCAAGGATACACGGTTACTAATTAAACTGCAGTCCCTATGCTGTATTAGTTATCTGGCACTCAAAACAGAATGTTTATACCCTCTGACAAACATTTCAGGTTTCCTCCATCCTCTAGTCACTGCTTCCAATTTCTTAACAACAAAGATTCTACCTGTTGTTACTGAGTCTCACTTTTTTTTGGATTCCACATAAAAGTAGCATCTTTCAGTATCTGTCAGACTTATTTCAACAGCAGAATCTCCTCCAGGTTGGTCCACATTGTTGCAAGTTGCAGGATTTCCTTCTTTGACAAGACTGAACAGTACTTCATTATATTATATATAAACATATACATCTTCATCACCCATTCATCCATCAGTGGACACTTAGGTTGTTTTCTTATCTCGGTTGTTGTGAATAATGCTGCAATGAACATGGCAGGGCAGCTATATCTTTGACAGTGATTTTATTTCCTTTCAATATCTACCTAGAAGTGGGATTGCTGGATCATATGGTCGTTACATTTTTAATTTTTTTTTAAAGATTTATTTATTTTTATTTATTTATACAAGCACTGGGTACAGTCAGAAGTGCGGGAGGGTGAGAGAATTCACCAGAGCCAGAGCGGGGAGCAGAGCAGGCAGAAGGACCGAAGTACACTGCTGAGGGGAGCAGCGGGCGGCAGGAGAGGTCTGCGTGCCATGTGGGACCCTCCTCCGGTGGCCAGGGAGCAGCCGGGGATCGAACCGGCGCCGCGAGGCCGCGGGCAGCTTCGCAACCCAGCGCTCAACCCCTGCGCCACCGGGGAGGCCCACATTTTTAATTTTTTTTTTTAAAAGATTTATTTATTTATACAAGCACTGGGTACAGTCAGAAGCACGGGAGGGTGAGAGAATCCACCAGAGCCAGAGCGGGGAGCAGAGCAGGCAGATGGACCGAAGGACACTGCTGAGGGGAGCAGCGGGCGGCAGGAGAGGTCTGCGCGCCATGTGGGACCCTCCTCCGGTGGCCGGGGAGCAGCCGGGGATCGAACCGGTGCTGTAGAGGCTGCGGGCAGCTTCGCAACCCAGCGCTCAACCGCTGCACCACCGGGGAGGCCCCACATTTTTAATTTTTTGAGGAAACTCTACACTCTCCTATAATAGCTATGTCAAATTAAATTTCCACAAACATATATAGTTCCCATTTCTCCACATCCTTGTGAACACTTATCTTTTGACTTTTTGATAACAGTCATCCTAATAGGTATGAATTGGAATGTTATTGTGCTTCTGACTTGCATTTCCCCAATGATTAGTGACGTTAAGCACGTTTTCATCTACCCACTGGCCACCTGGATGTCTTCTTTGGAAAAATGTCTAGTCAGGTCTTTTGCTCATTTTCCAATCAGGTTGTATTTTTACTACTAGTAGGATGAGTTCCTTATGTATTTTAGATATTAACCTCAATGGTATAGATAGTTTGCAAATAATGACTCCTATTCCAAAAGTTGTTTCTTCATTTTTAATCTAGTATCTTCTAATTTTTTCAGATTATGATGTTCAAAAAACACTGAATTATTACAATAAAAAAACATTATTCCTAAAATAAATTAATCCAACTCTAGTTAGGCTGACCTCTAGTGGTCATATATCTCATTTTTCAGCATGAGAACTCTCATTTGTAGAAAGACAAGTCAAAAAAAAAGAAAAAAGGATATTGTTAGAAACTTCTGTCAAACAAAGTAACAAAGGTAGTAGCAGGTACCCAAAGCATGAAAGAGCTGAGCAACAATTAATGGCCACAAAAATTTTAAAAACGCTTCTAAACATTAGTTCTAATTTTTCGTTTACCGGCTAACTTTACGTGAAAAGGATAGTATATACAATGGCTCTCAAAGTAAAAATAGTTGACGCACTGTCCAGAGCAATGTCTGGCACATTAAGATCCACAAGGCGTCCATTATCGCTAACAAAATATCAATATAAGCCTCAAAAATATTGAAAATAGCAGTTTGGTGTGAGTATCCGGTGTCAGAACAAGGAAACCACCGCACACTTACTCAGAAATGTACTCATAAGCTGTCAACACATAAAAGTGAAGAGTAAATTCAAAAAAAGTCTTTTCTGCCAGGGAGGGAAGGCAACTCAACAGGACAAAGGTGCACAGGTGGTGCATTAGCGGGTTGTGGGTACTGACATGTCCTTTCCTGCCTGACATGATACCCTCAAAAAAAAAAAAAACAAAAAAAAGGCAAGTGTAAAGCCTCAGTTCCTGCTGGCAGCCACCCCACACTTACCTTACCCACCGCCCTAAACACTCCACTCCCAGCTCTCTTGAAGGCTGCTGTGTAAACCAGGCCTCGCAGGCTGGCCCGCCTAGAATAAGCTGCCTCTGAAGGAAGTCGTGCCTCCCCCCGCAGCGCTCCCAGCCGCCTCCCTCCGCCCTCGCAGCCCCGCACCGGCGAGGGCCGAGGCTGGACCGACGGCAGCCGCCGCCATCAGCCGACCCGGGACGTCTCCCTCTCAGTGGAGGCTGCCGAGCCCCCCAGCACGCCCGAGTCCCTCCTCCCGGGGCCCCTGCGCCCCTTCAGTCGGAGCAGGGCCTGTTCCCCTCATCTGGCGCCCAGTTCTCACCCACGGAGGATGCCTCCTTTCTTTCTCGCCTCAGCCCAGCTCCACCGCCCGCGAGGTCCAGCGCCACCAGCCCGGCCCCCGCCGTCGCACCGCCGCGGCGCTGGCGCGCTCAGCAGACGTCACTTCCGGGCGAGCCCACGCCCCCTACCCCAGCTCGACCTTAGGCGCATGCGCCCCAAGCGGGCTGGGCGAGAGAGGGGCGGAGCCACCTGCTTTCGCCCGCGCCGCGCGACGGGCTAGGTAGTCTCGCGATATTTCGTCCCCCGCGGGAGTTTTTGAAAGCTCTGGCGGTAACCACGCCCTGTCTCTCGGAGGCGGCGGGCCCCGCGTCTGAGGCCCGGGTCGGCGGGGGTGTCGCGGGTCATCGGCGGCCGCGGCGGGCAGGGCGCGCCCCGATCGGGTCCCGGCGCCATGGGGGCGGAGAAGAGGCTGCTGCCGGTCAAAGAGGCCTTCCAGCTGGCGCAGCAGCCGCACCAGAACCAGGCGAAGCTGGTGGTGTCGCTGAGCCGCACCTACCGCACGGTGAGCGGGCCCGGCCCGCGGCCCCGGCCCCACCGGGCTCCCCCGGCCCCCGATCCCCTGGCCCCCGGTTCCCCCACCCCCGCCCCCCCATTCCCCCGGCCCCCCGGCCCCCGGCCCCCACCGGGCTCCCCGGCCCCCGATCCCCTGCCCCCCGGTTCCCCCACCCCGCCCCCCCACTCCCCCGGCCCCCGGCCCCCACCGGGCTCCCCCGGCCCCCGATCCCCTGCCCCCCGGTTCCCCCACCCCCGTCCCCCCACTCCCCCGGCCCCCGGCCCCCGGCCCCCACCGGGCTCCCCTGGCCCCCGATCCCCTGCCCCCGGTTCCCCACCCCCGCTCCCCCACTCCCCCGGCCCCCCGGCCCCCGGCCCCCACCGGGCTCCCCCGGCCCCGATCCCCTGCCCCCCGGTTCCCCTACCCCCGCCCCCCGAATCCCCCGCCCCCGGCCCCCCTACTCCCCGACCTCCCCCGGCCCCCGAGTCCCCCTGGTCCCCCGGCTCCCCGACCCTCCAGGCCCCCGGCCTCCCCGACCCCCGGCTCCCCCGGTCTCCGCGGCCCCTCCGCCCCAGCCTCAGGGCTCCGGCACCCCTTTCTCCCCCCGGCGATCGTTGCTGCTCGGTCGGGGGGTGAGCTCGGAGGGCAGCGCGGGATCGCGCAGCGCTCGGGGGGCGGGCGGCTGGATCCGGGGTGCGCGGCGGGAGCCTTGATCCCCGGGGTCGTCCCTCCGGGAACTCCCCGCACCCGTCAGATGCGCCGGCCAGACCCGGGTTCACTTGGCTCCACCCCATGAGCAGCCGAGGCGTTGGGACCCGCTCTCCCCGCCCTGCAAATGCTGGTTTGTCTTGCGGGGATCTGAAGTGGAAAGTGCAGCCCGGCCTGTGGGGAGCTGAAGTGGGGACCCGGCCCCTGGGCTGAAGGGTCAGGGAGCAGCTGATGAGCATCCTCAAGGCCAGCGCGCTCCGATCATGCATCTCTACAGGACTGTATCCCTTGCTTTCGTCAACGTATACTCTGTAACCTAGTTGCCCTGGGCATACTTTCTCTGCAAGTAACGAATTATTGTTGTAACTTCTTAAATTCTAAACATAGTATTCAAATGGTATGTGTGCAATTATTTAATAGTGGTATGTGACTATGAAGAAATCTTGATTTTTTTTTTTTTTTTTTTCTGTTTCAGTCTCATGCAGCAAACAGCAATGCAGTTAGATTTAGAGTTTGCCAGCTCATAAACAAGCCCTTGGGAGGTATGCCAGTCTCTGGTGTAAAGCCCGCTGGGCTGGCGTACTTGAAGAGCTTCCTTCCTCTTCTCTGCATTAAAATACATCCATTACATGTTAATAAATATCATTACTAAAAGTTGAACTTTTTAAAAAATAATTCCAGCGTTAAACTTTTACTCTCTACAAAGCATTTCTCACATGCATTTATTTTAAGTGAGTTCTTTCATTTTGAGAAAAGTAAGAGTTCCTACAAAGAGGTCTATAATTTAGCAAATTCTTTGGCCTGTGTATATTTTGAGATTATATAATGTATATTTAGTATGCGTATGAATCAAGGTAGCATTATACTTTCTCTGCCTGCTTCCCTGACGGAATTCTGCCATAACAGATCCACAAGAAAAGCAGGACGAGGGAAAAAAATTATCTTGAGGTCTACGAAGTATTAGGTCGACATACCAGGGCTTGAAAGTATGGGATAGGATGTGAAGGTTAAATCAAAAGATATTGCCTTGTAGAGAAAGGCTTAGATGTGACAAAATAGGAAAGCACTTGGGTTCATGAAGAAACCTGTTGTTTACTAAACTCAATATGCCAAGCATATTGAGCATTCAAGGGTATTTAAAATAATCAAAGGATCCTTTCACTGTCAAAACTCACATTTTGTTTTCTCCCTGGGAGAAGTCAAACTCCTCTGGAGAGAACTTTGTGAACATTTACTCTTGGATGGTTGGGATAATTGAGAGTTTAGTAAAGAGTGATTATGGTTTGGGTTACGGCTGGTGCTTTCAGCGGTGTTGTACTAATGTTGGGTATAAGTAATTTTATTAATGCAGTTTGTGAAGGGTTTCATTTGTGTTTCAGATGGATGATAAAACAATTTTTCATGAGGAGTTCATTCATTACCTTAAATATGCCATGGTGGTCTATAAACGTGAACCAGCTGTGGAGAGGGTCATTGAATTCGCAGCAAAGTTTGTTACTTCATTTCACCAATCAGATATGGAAGATGATGAGGAAGAGGAAGACGGTGGGATTTTAAATTACTTGTTTACTTTCTTATTAAAGGTAAGAAACTAGAATTTGGGGGGAAGGATTATAGAAAATATTACTATGTTAAAAGGACCTTAGGAGTTTGCATATTTCAGAGAAAGAAATACCTTGTAATTGGCAGAGTATCTATGAATGAGTTTGCCTTTTATGGGACTTACTAAACTGTCATAAAGATTAAAAGTGGGCTTCTCCTTTATTGTTTTTTTCCCTCCTGGTCCAATGCTGTATTACTTTTTTAATTTTAGGAATATTTTACAAACAATACATCCATTATATGTTAACAAATAACATTACTAAAAGTTGAACTTTTAAAATAATTCCAGCATTAAACTTTTAATCTCTCCAAACCATTTTTCACATACATTTATTTTAAATGATTTCTTTTATTTTGGAAAGTAAGAGTTCCTACAAAGAGGTCTATAATTTAGCAAATTCTTTGGCCTATGTATATCTTGAGATTATATAATGTATATTTAGTATGCGTATGAATCAAGGTAGCATTATACTTTCTCTGCAAGTAATGAATTATTGTTGTAACTTCTTAAATTCTAAACATAGTATTCAAATGGTATGTGTGCAATTATTTAATAGTGGTATATGACTATGAATAAATTTTGATTTTTTTTTTTTTTCCTGTTTCAGTCTCATGCAGCAAACAGCAATGCAGTTAGATTTAGAGTTTGCCAGCTCATAAACAAGCTCTTGGGAAGTATGCCAGAGAATGCCCAGATTGATGATGATTTGTTTGATAAAATTAATGAGGCCATGCTTATTAGGTTGAAAGATAAAATTCCCAATGTGAGAATACAGGCAGTTCTGGCTCTTTCAAGACTTCAGGATCCCAAAGATGATGAATGCCCAGTGGTTAATGGTATGTGTAGCTTCCTTTTTCAGTTTGATGACTTTGTTGTAATTCTCATTAGACTAATTTGTATTATGAACTATGTAAATGTGGAAGAGTGTAGGTTTTTCATGTGTGATTAACAATCCCTAAATCTCTCCACCACCCAACTTAAAAAATAGAGTATCATGAGCACCTTTGAAGCCTGTCTTTTGTCCCACACTAGTTATGTCACTCTCCTCAGAGTCAATGATTTTCCTGAATTTTGGGTTATTCTCTTGCTTTTGTTCCAACAGTTGTCTAGATTTCTAAACAATGTTAAATTTTACCTATCATTTCATATGTTATATGGATCGTATTTTCTGTGGCCGTTTTCTCTAAACTTTATTTCTAATCGTAACATTCATTGTTACTGATATTTTTATGTACTGTTTGATAACATTATGTTGTATGAATGTAACAACAGCTCATTACTAATAATGATGGACCTTCTAAAGGTTTCCAGCTATTTTGCTATTAGAAAAAAAGTATTGTTGTTATAATCTTTTTTTTTATATAGGTAGCTTTTGGTACACAGAGTAACCAGGTTAAAGAGTTTTCCTGGTCCTCCCCTGTTAGCGCAGCGGTTGAGCGCTGGGCTGTGAGGCTGCCCGTAGCCTCTACAGCGCCGGTTCGATCCCCAGCCATGGGTGAGGATCCCACATGGTGCGACAGACCTCTCCTGCCACGCCCGCTGCTCCCCTCATCGGTGTATTTCGTCAGTCTGCCTGTTCTGCTCCCTGCTCTGGCTCTGGTGAATTCTCTCACCCTCCCGCACTTCTGACTGTACCCAGTGATTGTAAAAATAAATAAATAAATATTAAAAAAAAAAAAAAAGAGTTTTCCTAAGGTGTATACCTACAGGTGGACTTGTTTGGTTATATGCACTTCATTATAATGTATAAGTGATCTACAACTTACAAGTGATTTACCAATTAATAATTCCAGTAACAGTGCACAGAACCATTCCGAGATCTCAAGGGCTGTTTGTTTTCCATCTTAGGCTTCATGCTCAGTCCACTGACTAGCTTCTTCTTTGTATTTTTGAAGGAAAGATGGCAGAAAAATCTTAAGCTAAAATTAAATGTGGCACCCTAAAAAAATGCTTTTATCAATTTTAAGATAGCAAATTGTGGGCTATCTTGTGATGTCTAAGTAAATATTTCTTTGGTGTACTAAAACATATTGCTCCATTTTTAGCATATGCTACTTTGATTGAAAATGATTCAAATCCCGAAGTTAGACGGGCAGTGTTGTCATGTATTGGACCATCAGCAAAGACGTTGCCAAAAATTGTAGGGCGTACCAAGGATGTGAAAGAGGCTGTCAGAAAGCTGGCTTACCAGGTAAATAGGTCTACTATCTTGTGTAGGCGTAGTCTTAAAATACAAGAAGCCATATTCTTAAA